TCTTCCCTCTGCTTTCCTTGCAGTGCACATTCTATCTGGAGTACCCTCGTCCAAATCTGATGCGACAGCTGCCTCGCTGGAGCTTGGTCCTGTGCTGAGTCCCGGCCCTGCACATCTGGCTTTGTGACACTCAGGGGCACCTCAAACCCAATTGGTTCAACTCCAAATCCTTCCCCTTCCACTACCAACCTACCTCCACGTCTTGCTGGAAGGGAGCACATGTAGCTCACACCAGAAATCGGTCCATCATCCCAGAGTCCCCCCTCTACTCTCCTTCCACAACACTGCGAGTCGCCAAGACCTACTGAGTCTACTTGATATCTCCCTTACTCATTGCCTCTCACCATTCCCACCTTGGAGGACTTAATTTAGTCCCCCACTTCCCCCCGCGGATCACTGCACTGGGCTCCTTTCCATTTTCTTCCTGCCTCAAGTTCTCTCCCTTTTCAACTCATCCTTCACTGAGCTTTCCCACTAAATGTCAATCTTAACACATCTGGCCTCCGTTTAAAGTCCTTTAGTGACTCTTCACAGCTCAGAGGATGAAGTTCCATTTCTTGGCTTATGTAGTTGCAGTCTGTCTCTGTGGTCTCAACCCGCCCCCAAGCCCCAGTCCCCTAACGGATCAACTACTTGTTCTTCCTATTCCTTGTGCTGTTTCCTGCCTCTACTTCTCTGCACGTACACTTCCCACCGCTCAACCATTCTTCTCTCCTCCTGATCCCTCGGAATCTAATTGTGATCTCTTCGGGAAGCCTCATGAGATCACTGTGCATATGATTTAGGTGCCCTCTGTGTTCAAACACTGCCCCGTGCATACCTCTGTTGGAGTACTTAAAACATTATAGTCTTTGCCCCCTTCACATGTCTCTCTCTCTCTCTCTCTCTCCTCTTTCACTGTAAATCCCAGGAAAGCAGCATCTGTGTCTTGTCTAACATTGTATTCTGGGCACCTAGTGGAGTCCACCTGGCACATAGAAAGTGTTCAATAAATACTGAATGAAAGCTGGAAGGAAGACCATGTATTACCTCCTTTCATCCTCGCAAACTGTGAGGTGGTTGTTGTTAGGATAGTCTAACAATGATGATTGTATATTCATTTTTTCAACTTTATGGACAAAAGACTTTCAAATGATCACTGAAAAACAAGGACGATTAAAAAGCAGACTTGAAAAGGATTCTACCCTTGGTGTAGTAATTTCACCTCTAGGAATCCATACTAAATAAATAATCAGAGCCAGGCAAGTTTTATTCACCAAGACATTAATCATGAAGAAATTTATGCTAGTAAAAAGTCGAAAAAAAAAACAATAGAGAAATGATTAAACATCCAAAATTATGGTACATCCATACAATCGAACATTATACCGCCATTATACATTATGTTTCCAAAGAATTTGTAATGATCTGGGACAATGCTTATGTTCTTAATGAAAAAGCTGGTTAGAAAACTAGCAAATATAGCAAGATTTTTAATTATGTACAGTAAAAAAAAACCTCACATATAAGCAGAGAAAAAAGATTAGAAAGGAACATACTAAAACAAACTCTTCAGTGATTATACCTTGGGTGATTCTTTGTTTCTTTACAATTTTGGTATTTTTCAAATTTTCTACAATAAGCATCTTTACTTTCACCATCAGAAATATAACATTTTTTCAAGTTAGAGATTCTGGCTGTGTGAAACTAGTGAACATCGTTAGTTCTATTTGTATAGTATCATTCCTCCTTTTTCTGGTGACAGTACCTCCATTTTTCTCTGGGGATGCATCCCTCCCCATCTTAGGCCATGTGGTATGGATGAAGCAGACTCCCAACCCAGGCTTCAGTGGGGGGAATGTGATTCAGACCCGGCCAATGGTCACACTCCATCCCTCTGGCTTCAGTGAATGGTTCTGGATGGGCATGCGACCAAGCCAGGTCAGTGAGACTCACTTCCAGTACTTTCATAGGAGATGTTTATGGGGCAGGAAAGGTGTGCTTCCATTAGTACTAATGAGCTGGAAGCCTAGAGCTGCCTGAACGTACAAGAGGACAGCAAAGCAATACAGGGAAGTATTGCTGAAGGGTCAAGACAGAGAAAAATGTGCATGCAATTGCACACACACACACACACACACACACACACACACACAGACGCACACACATCCCCCCTTCAGGACATGATGACTTTGAGTCTTTGAATCTAGGAAATTGTGAAATACTATCATCCCTAGACTTCCCAGTTATAAGAGCCAATAAATTTCAGGTTTCTTTGTTTGCTCGACTTAAAGTCAGTCTGAGCTGGGTTTCTACAAGCGGCAATCAAGAGTCCTCACTAAAACAATTCTGAAAACAGTAAAATGCATACAGTACAACCTGCGAAAGAGCCCGGGACTATCACAAATTACAATATAGAACTGACCCATACGTCCTGCCTGAGATATAAATCATTTCCGTCATTGCAAATGTTCTATTGGACAGTGCTGATCTATAATATAGTTCATTCCCATAGCAGTTCGCTCGTAGTACCTTATATATATGCCTTCGCTTAGTACGAAACAGGCAAGGGGTATTATTAAAAATAGCAAACAACCCTGAAGGCACAGGTACTGGAGGCTCTCTCCTGTGCCCAGCTTTAAACCTTTAATTGCTGGATCTAAGGTGCTTTGGGTGTCTCAAGGGTGGTTTGGATAAGGAGACACTTAGGAGGTGTTTGGGGAATGACTTTTTCTAATCGGTACAGGAGGATTCCAATATTCTACCAATCAATATGGCCGAATTGGTGGGTACTGGCTGAACGTGGGCTCTGTTAGCAGCTATTATAGCTTATCTGGGTGCCTGTGTTCCCCACTGGACTGTGAATTCCCCTACTCAGGGACTTTGTCTTACTTTGTAGAGCTTGTGCCTACCTAGGTGCCCAATAAATGTTGGTTGAATGACAAACAGATTAACAGTCCAGCATTGTATAATTCCCTATTCAGTATTTTTTTTTCTCTGATAGAAGTTTCTTGCCTAGAATTAAATTGCAATATGGTCTCTTTTCACCCACTCTTTTGAAGATGTTATCCTTTCCAATATCAGTTGATGGAAGAAGAAAATTGTAAATTTTCTCTCTCAGGCATAACGTTGATATTTTAACTCATAGTGATTTTTCTTCTCAATACAAAATGGATTTTAGAAATAAATCAAGTTCCCAGAAACTCATGATTGCTTTGAGTGGTATCTTTTTATCTGTCATCCTAAGAAAAACATGAGATCTGATGGCCCAGAGCACAGAGACCTTTGGAGTTTCAGTTCTCCCGCAGCTGTAAGATTGAAACCATCTGCTAGGACACTGGGGCGTGGGGTCCCATACCTGACTATAAGGACTGAGGGCAGAGCGCACTTCTGTCTGTTAACAATAATACTCGCCATGTCTAGCTCCCCTTTGCCTCATTGTAGACACGTAAAATGCTTGTTGAGTGAATAAATACATAAATTTAAAGAGAGGCAATTATACACACTGATGATTTGGTCATCCTCTAGTAATGATAATTTTTAAGTGATTAGCTTTAAAAATAATTTTTCTTAAACCATCTGGGTCCTGTCACCATCAAACAGGTGAGCTTTCAATACTGAATGAAGTGTGGGAGTTGGGCAACTATATATTTTGGGTGATGTTTTAGAGAAGAGTCTAGCTGCTTCTAAATTATTCTATCTCTTTTTCTGATGGGCATATCCCATTTATTTTCCATTCTTGAGCTCTCTAGAGGGATGTTTTATTGGTTTATCAGAATGCATAGGGAAAGCTCCCCACACTTGGTGTAGGTCTTCCAAGGAGGGTTCAAACCCTGGGTCTCCCCTCTATGAGCTATGTGATCTTGGGTTACCTTTAGAACTACAATAATAAACATATCTATCTACCCACCTCGCAAAGCTGTTATTGTGAGCATGAAAGAATAGTCAGTGTGGGGGAGAACTAGAAAACCCTACACAGATACTGCTATTATCTTCCAATCAAGGACTGCCACCATGAGCAAGTGGGTAAAAGCACTTTCTGGGCAGTGAAACCTGACTTAAGAGAATCATTTTACTTTTATTTTCCTCCTGGGACATGAGAGGGCAGCTAAAGGGAACGCAGGGATCCCCAGCCTTGTAACTGTCGTCTGATATAGAGACAGAGAAACCATACAGGAAAGAAAGAAAGGAAAAAAAAAAAGCGCCCAGAGGCAAATGTGTGCAGAAATCCGGGCTCCCAGAGCAAACTTCGCAGGACGCCCCCCTCGCTCCACCGCCCCAGTCTCCGCCGTGGCGACAGGGGCTTCTTGGGCGGAGGCCGCGCGGACCAATAGGAACCAAGTGTGTTCTTACAGGTTACGGAGCAGGTGGAGAAACTGAACATAAAGAATTACCTAAGCCCCGGCTCGGCTTTTTACCGCGGTGCCAGGCGCCACGCTCGGTCCCCCTTGCCTAACAGCTATGCAGAAGAATGTCGGGCCCCAATTTCCTGACACCCTCCCCTTCCCGTCCCTTCTGGTCCCCACACCACCTCCACCACCGGCGGCGTCCAGCCTCCTCCCCCCCCCCCCGAGCGTGCTGGGGGGGCCGGCAGCCAACCTTCATTGTCTGGGGAGCACCTGCCAGGTGGCGGGCCGTGACCTTAAGTGCGCGTGGTGCCCAGCTTCACAAAGCCAGCGGGCAGCACCCCCCTCGTCCGGGAGCCGCCTGGGGAGGGCAGAGCACATCGCAGGGGCGGAGAGGGGCGAGATGGAGGGGCTCCGGGGTCAAGAGCGGACGGCGAGGGCGCGCGCGCCCTCCCCCTCCCCGCGGGCACGGCCCCCCGGGATTAGCACGTCGAAAGAGCAAGGGCCAGACGCCACCGCGAGGGAGCGAGACCCGGGCGGGAGCGAGGGAGGGGAGGCGAGGAGGGGCGCCGGGGAGGGGCGTGGCCGGCGCGCAGGGGGAGGGCGCGGGGAGGAGGGGCTGCTGCTCGGCGCTCGCGGCTCTGGGGGCTCGGCTTTGCCGCGCTCGGTGCACTTGGGCGAGAGCTGGAACGTGGACCAGAGCTCCGATCCCAGTGCAGCCTCCGCGATGAGAGGCGCTCGCGGCGCCTGGGATTTTCTCTGCCTGCTGCTCCTCCTGCTCCGCGTCCAGACAGGTGGGACATCGCCGCGGGCGCCCGGGCCGCGCCCCCCGCCGCAGCCCGTGCCCGGGAGGCGTAGTGCCACCGGGGTGCGTCCGGAGAGGTGGCTGCGGGCCCTCAATGCCATGCCTTCCAGCCTCCGGGAGGATCCCAGGCGGCCCGGCGACTCTCTCGCGCCCTGCCTCGCTCACCTGCGCGAGGAGCCCCCAGCTGCTGGCAATCGAGGGCGCGAAGCCGGGGGTCTTCGGGAATGGGAGCAGCGAGGGGGCTTAGGCGTGAGCGAGGCTGCAGGCTGCGTGCGAGTTTGGGGTTGCTTTTGTGCCGACGGTGCGCGGGTGGCCGGGGCGGGCGGCTCGGGGCTTCGCTCCGAGCGCCTTATCTCGCCGTGCGAGGCGCGGCCGCAGCTTCCTTTTGTTAAAAGTTGCGTGTGTGACCGGGGCACGGGAAGACCGGCCCGCAGGTTCGCCGCCGCGCCGAGGGCAAAGTTAAAGAGCCGTGCCTTCGCTCTGCGGCTGCTGCTTTCCAACCGCAGGCGCTCTTTGTGCCCAGAGCTGGGGACCGACCCGCTGCTGCCTCTGCTCGCGGCGCCACCCGAAGGCTGCGGCGCTTCCCGGTTACGCTTTTGCACCGGGAGCGCGCGGCGTGAGGCTCTGGGGCCGGACCCCGCGACCCTGGGGGTGGTAGCGACAGAGACAACTTGGGCAGGGCGTGTGGGAAGCAGCCGCTAGGTTGCAGACTTTTTGCTTTTCTAAATCTCCTGCTCGCCCGTTTCTGCTGCGGCGCCGTTTCGTTCCTGCCAGGAGCCCTGGAGCGGCTGGAGGCTGCGTTTGCCGCCTGCTCCGGGGAGGCAGGGACAGCGCGCTGGGACGCCGTGGTCCAGACCCCAGCCGCCTCGCGCGCCCGGCCGGAGTGCCCGGCCAGCCTGGCGGGCTCTGGAAGCCCCCTGTCTGTCCTGGAGTGTGCGACCTGCAATCCCAGGTCCCAGTTTTCATCGGGAATTTTGAGATTCCAGACCGGCCCCCACCCCGCCCCCCGGGATATCTCTACTTCAGGGCTGCTAGTGTCTGGGGGGCGGGAGATGGAGCGGAACTTTGTTGCAAATCTTACTGGTTCTTCAAGCCGTTTGGAAAATGCAGTTATATCCGCGCGGGAACTTGGGTCTTAAGGTGAAGGATTTATTAATATTGCAGGTTCCCGGAGCCTCTGCCAGATTCCTGCCTCCCGTTCCCATTTTTCCAGGTGTCGCTGGTGCGCGCGCGAGCGCGGGTCGCCCGGGCTAATCCCTGGAGCCCTGACCTCTCCTAGGTCATTAAAAGAAATAAATAAATAAAAATAAAAAAAACCTTTGCGGTTACCCTGATGATGCTAGAATAGAAAGTGAGTCTGAGCTGGAGTCTAGAGCTCCAAATGCACCATCGCCATGAACTGTCGTGAGACTGTCGACTCCTGGTCAGTTTCTCTATAAAGTCTCAGGACGTAGCCTCCCCCGTCCCAGTCTTTGAGGCATTGTGAAGGCTTCCTGCGGGGAAGAGCAGCCATGCTTTTGGACCCCTGTGCGGTGCAAGGGGTCAGCAGGGGTCACGAGGGAGTGTTCAGATTCCTGGGCGGATTTGATCGCCTCGCTTATTTAAAATGACACATTTGGTCTTTATGATTTTGTGCCTTGGCCTTTTTATTAATGATATCAGTTAAGGTATGCGAACTAGACCCCAGTAGCACACTAGAAAGACAGACCACACTGAATCTTTCTCTTTCTAAAAATTAAACGAATCAATGGTTTCCTTCTTCCTCTTAAGTAGCCTGCTCCTTCCAATAGATTTCTGGCAAAGGGAATTTTAAGGTCTGTCTACTTGGGGGCAGTGTGGTACAGTGACTTATCCTTGCTCTGCCCGTGTGTTCTGTCCTCTTGTCATTCACTGGCTCATGCCCTTGGGCAGGTTGCATAGGGCAGGTCGCTTAAATTCTGGGGAGTCCAGTTTCCTCCAGAGTACAATGAGGCGTCTGCATCACGAAGGATCCTTTGGGTCCGGAATGCTGCCTCTCCAGTGTTCTGAGTGTAGACCCAGCACTCTTGTTCCTCTCTTTCCCTGATCTCTTACTACCTCTTTGAAGTTCCTCGTCTCTCCTGGTCACGGGGGCCGTGTGGTTTATGGGTGCATTTTACTGGTCTGCCCCTGGCTAAGCAGGGAGCTGTGGTTTATACTGCCCACCCCTCGATGCCCACGTGCTGCTCTGCAGTGCCCTTTGATGGCTGGGAGGTGCCAACTCTAATAACCCTATTCCTGCCCCCCCCCATATTTACAGCTCTTGTGTCCAGCAGGATGAACCTGCGAGGGAGAGTGAATCATACCTCCCCTTTTTCCTGCAGATGTGAGGCTCGAGTTATCCTCAGCAGCTGGACACAAGGCATTCTGACTTATTATCCGGCTGGAAATGATGTGATGGTTTTGTAAAGGGATCCCAGGTCATTCATTTATCCCTATGCTGGTCTTTCCCGCCCATCCACACATTTTTTTCTTGTCTCTATAAATCCTATATGCTGCGCATTCCCAACACGATTTCTAATGTGCCTTAAATTTCACGTTACATGTCTGTTGTACCTAGTTATTGCTCTTTAATTGGAAACTGCGTGCCAGGCCCCGGGCTGGGGGCTTTACCTGCTGTTTCTAGTACTTTCCACAAGCCCAGGAGGTAGCACTATTACCGCCCCTACTATTTGACAGCTGGAGAAACTGGCTGAGGTGAGCCCAAAATAATCAGTGGTGAAGCCTGCTCCCGGCCCCATATGCCCAACTGTGTATCCGTTTACATGATTCACCAGAATCCATTATAAATTAAGACTCATTCAGAAATATTCAGCGAGTCCTTCCTATCCGCCAGCCATTGTTGGAGGTTCTGGGCACGCAGGATGGCCAAGGTCACTACGTTCCCAATTTTGGTGAGAAAGACCTAGAATTGCCCTAGTTAGAAGGTTCTCAATTTTAGGGACGTATTCACTGAGGGCGGATTCATTAAATTATAGCTTGGAAGAGGGGGTGTAGGCATTTGACCCTGTGGTCCGAGGGCTTTAGGTATTAACTATCCCATCCCAAGTTAGGGTCCCTTAGAAGTGAAGATAAGCTGACTCTAAAATGATGACGTGAGTCGATTGAAATCCATCTCCCACTGCAAAAAATAAAAATGGTGTTAGCTTCCTACACTGGTGTGTAGTTGTGAACAAGAAAACCCCCAATAACGGCTGATACCATTGGGTATTTACCCTGGATGAGCATGATGAAAAACAATGACAATTTACCACTCAAAGCCTTTTCTTCTCCCCAAAGAAATTCTCATCAGAAATGTGCCAAGTATTCCCTGGGCTTCCCTTGGAGCACATTTATGTGCAGATGTTGTTGTGGTGATGAATTTTGCTGCTGTTGTTGACAGCCGTTGGAAGTTACTCTTAGGATTTTGACTCATTTCCTCAAGTCTCCTCCAGCTGATTAAAGAAGGACACGAGGAAATGAGCCACGGTGGCCTGAGCGGAATTCTCGGGGCTGGACTGCAGTGTGGGGACCCTGTCAAGGCAGTGGTCAAGGCTGCAGCGGCATTTTCTCCAGAGTTAATTTAGTTTAAGAGTTGGCAGGCTCGGATGTGGAAAGTGCTTTATTTTGCTGCATTCATGTGTGGTAACTTTAAAAAAGTGGGATTAAAAGACATTTGCAAGAATCCAAATATGCAAAATTTCATATGCAGTTTCAGTAACTTGAATACATGGTTTGCAAGCTCAGAGTAAGGAGGGCCCAGAAAGGAGTTAGGGGAGGTAAAAGTTTGACTCAAGGGCAGTGTCAATCTTTGTGGAAAGGAGAGAGGACTTATGAGTCAGCATGGCCTAGCAGCTCTGGTTTCTGATGTTGGACATGATCATATAGCTCATCTTTTGACTTAAGAGTCTTAATAAGTAAAGAGCAGTTGTAAGCCAATAGCCTATGCATATGTTTTTGTGGCCTACGTGTTGCTTTTTAGAAAATGTTGAGGCAATATTTAAAAATCCAGAGAATTTTTATCAAGATCTCTATTTCTCTCTCCTTTTGAATCGAAGACCCTGGCCCCTTTAGATATGGGGCCCGTGCTCTTTGGGTTGCATTAGGCTCTACAGCTCTGTACTGCCAGGCCCTGGTAAACACAGGTAGGACTAGGCAGGTGACATGTGAAAGGAACATGAGTGGGCTGCCTTGTGTTAGTCTGATGGCTCCATGGCTGACAGTGCTGTGGCCTTGGTGTTGCTTTACCTTTCTACTTTAGCTTTTCATCCTAGTTTTGTCATTTACTAGCTCTGTGACTTTGGGCAAATTACTTAACCTCTCTGTGCCAGTAAATGTATTCCTACATAGAAAGCTTTTAGAATGGCACACCATACTATGTGTTCAATATATGTTAGCCGTAATTATTATGTATAAAATTGGAATTATTATTCTCCCTAAAATGGAAATAGTGCCTACTCTTAATAGGATTGCCCTAAAGATTAGAAAAAGATTTTTATAAAGGCGCTTGGAACAGGATATGGGACAGGATAGTCACCTAATAAATGAGTGAATTCTTCACATATGTAGAATTTGACTATTTCTCTTTATGATCTTTATACATAGGTACCAATAAGTATTAACTTGACAGCTTTTAAAATGAAATAAACTTTAAATTTTTGCCTTGAGTTTGGTTTAGCATTTGATAAGAGTTGGGAATCACTGGTCTTAGAGATTGAACAGATCTCGGACTCTTTTTCGCCCAGAGAAAACTCACACATCTCAGATGATTTCTCCAACAGAAGCATTCAGACCTGATACTTTTCCTATCAGATTAAAGAGGAATCTTACTTGTTAGCCTTCCTCCTTACATTTTGGTCATGACACACTTTTCTTAGATATCTTCCAGTGCATACGTTTCTGACAGCTAGGTTTTCAACACTTTTGCAAAATTTAAGATTTAAGCCAAATTATTGTGCAGGTGCATGTGGCGTCAGGGTTAAGAGCTTGGGC